CACTCCACACCGATCCTGATCAAGTTTAGCTGCGTGTGTCTATTGACACTTGAGTCCAAATTCGGATTCAGTGAGTTCACAAACTCTTGAAATCTAATCTAGGCACCAAAACATTGCCCCTAATGTAAGCCAATTCACTGACGAGCATATTCCTGCTTCAAGGCAAACAAGACATCTCTCGGACACTCCACGTTGTAGGCATGGTACATCTTAAAGATGCATTTGAGCTCCCCCCACAAGCGTGTAGACAACCCTGCTGGCATTCTCGCTTTGTATGCGGATGGCGAGTCAAACCAGCGCACATACATCATGTGATCAGTCAGTGACATACCGTGCACAGCTTCACACGAGAGCGCGCCCTCAAGAGTCTCAGTAGGCGCATCACCCAGCGCCTCCTCAAGCTGAGCTGCAACTAGATCCCGAGGCGTGGGCATGTCGATGCCCTGACTATCCTGCAGCTCATGTGGGCCTGAAGACGAGCATGGCTGGCTAGAATCTGACACCTTGCCAGACCACGCTTTCTCAACAAATGCCTTCGCACCTTCAGGGGTAATCGGTGAGTATCGGACACTGGCGTCAAGCGCAGACTTGTTCTGTTGGTTCTTGTCATGTTTCTGGTTTCTGGGGGTTCTGGCTCCGGTTGGTGGTGTTTGGACATGAGCGCTGTCCTGCAAACCCGGATCCCCTTCCATTTCGCTTTCATCCGATTCTTCCCACCAATAGTTTTCACCCCACCATTCCTCTCCTCGCTGTTCCTGCCATTCTGCCTGCTCACGGTCCCCATCCCACTGCTGTTCCTGTGCCTGCTCATGGTCTCCGTCCCACTGCTGTTCCTGCAGTTCTGCCTGCTCATGGTCCCCATCCCACCCGATGCTGTCATCCCAAACGCTGCCTAATTGCTGTGTTGGAGAAAGCTCTTCGCACTCACACTCATCGACTCCATGTGGAGGGGTCCAGTTGGCAGGCGTGCAGTGAAAGGTGTTGCCACCCCGCTCGATGGAAAACTTTTCACACCCATCCCATCGAGGATCACGCTCGGAACGGCTTTCCTGCGTTTCCTGCTGCTCCACACCCATTGCGTACAACCACCCCTCCTGGTCCGACCATGTAGCTCTTGGGCGGATGTAAGCTGCAAACCCTTTGATATCTTCCAAGGGGTCCCCATAGTCAAAGTCAGCAAACGGCAGGTCATGGAAACCGGTTTTTTCCCGAACTTCACCCCAGTACCAATCCAAAAGAGGATGGGTGCCAGCCAACTCAACCACTTCTTCCAATTCCTCCCGCTCGAGAGCTTCGATCTCGTGGTCCGGCCATTCCCACCAAGGCGCACACCAGTCCTCATCCCCCTGTCCCTCCAAAGTCTCTGGTCCACGCTCAATAGTGTAGTCATAGTCATAGCTGTTTGGGGATGTCCATACCACTGACTGCTCAGCAGAACTTGGGGAAGTTGTGGATGCAGTTGCAACCTTAAAGAGGAAAGGGTGGTCGACAAAAAACCTCTCATACAAAAATGATTTGCAGCAGTTTCCAATCTTTCCCATGTTCATGTTGAAACCACATTGACTCGCTGAAGTTCAGCCAATGGGTTTTTACGACGCTTGAAACTATGCCAGAATACATTTGGAGATTCAGGTCCATCCTTCTCATGAATAGTCTTATATGCGTCCTTGAAGGATAAGGCAGGTTGAAAATTATATGTATCGTGTGTCACCTGCCAATCCAGTCCTCGGATGCTCCGCGATCTGAGGCACCAGGAATCATATCCGCGATGCCCTTGTCCAGAAGAGCCTGGGCAATGATCGGGAAAGACGCACGCGCGTGAAACACAAGATCCACCCAAACCAAGTTCGAAGGCAATGGGGAGATTGAGAGGGAGAAGCCCAAACCAAAATGCAACCCAAGAAACCTTCCCAGAAGATATGCCATGAGGATCGATCGCGGTTTCCTGAGGGCACACGGTGGGAAAACATGACCTGGACAATCGACAAGAACAGTGTTTCCAGAGTGGAGTGAGAATATGTTCTAGACTCTTTGGAGTTTTGTGTGAAATAAATAGTGTGAACAATTTGTTGGTGTCTTTGCAGCTTTGTAGGCGCCGGGGTGTTTTGAACGTGTTTGCGCTTTTATGTACTTCTTTTTACGGAAGGGTCCATACATAAGAATCCGAACGCATCAAAACCGGCATCGGTTCTTGTCCAAGACTCCTCCTTGGAATTCGCAGAGGATCCATCAACACACCCACCAGCGAAAACGTCCCATTGGGAATCGTGATCCTCCGCAGAGATCAAAAGGCAATGGATGCCCTCCCCCCCAAAAAAGTGATCGACAACACATCCTGAAACAAAACGTTAAACTTTATTGTAGATTATGTGGAACATAGTTAACGTGGTTTCAGGAAACCGGTTGGCTGTCACAAAATCATAGCAGTGTCCTGGTGCTCAGCAGGGAGCCATGGCTGGGTTTCAAGATTGTCCATGCTGGCAAGCTGGTTGGTCAACCAAGCGTTTTTGCGAGCTTTTTGTGCCAAAGGGTGGAGTACGTTAACCTGTTCTTTCAACCAATCGTTGAAGCTAAACCCATTTGTGAGTGGAATTTCCAAGAAACGTGTCCTCACCATGTGTTTAAGGGAATCTCGCAGCGCTGCCTTGGTCCAAATGCGGGTCTCCAAAGTGTGGTCGACCGCTTCGCGCATGAGCCGCAACGCTTCCCTTGTCTTCTTCACCCGAAGACTATTGTATGACACTATGGACCCAGTCATACGGAGATACTCCCCATCATCCGGCTTTATAAAGCCGGTGTAGATCGCCCAAGACAGGTCTCGAATCTTCGTTTCGCGGGCGTCCATCTTGATCCGGAGCAGCTGAGGATTTGGAACCGCTGCCCACTTCATCGAAGCACACCGTGAACACGCACGGATAAAAAAAAGCGGTTGGTTTTTCAATTCCTCCCGATCGACACGTGTGTGTGTGTTGTGGGTTTAGGGTGTTTCGTACATCAAACAAAAAGTATATATATAAAAGATATAAAAGCTTCGAGTGATCCCCCACCACGTTCTTTGTTTCTTTTGTCTGACGGTCCCTTATTGGGATGTGTCCTGGATTGGTCTAAACCTACACCACGTTTTCCTTTTTCTGACAGTCCCAAAGACCTATCTTGGCGTGGGCCAGCTGACACGCTTTATATGTCCGGTTGGCAGCTGCCAAGCCTCATGTGTCCGGTTCCCTCCCTTGTGTCCGAACAGCACGTCCTGGGAGCAGTGAGGTCCAGCCTGAGGTATTTGTCCTTACCCTGATGGATGTACCGGGTGGGAACCAAATGCAAAATGGCTACTTCATCAGGATGAACATGCCTCATGTTGGCGATTTGGTGGCCACGAACCTTGGTGGTACCTGGCATTGGGATCAATGCTCCATAAAGTCCTTTTTCCTCCAGTCGCTTGGGCGTGAACCCCCCGGCTCGACAGCCGCATGCACAAGCTTGCAGTTGTGATCCCCAAGCATGAAGCGCAGTAGCCAGCGGTTTTGTGGGGCTGACCGAATTGCTTCCCAACCCACCTGGTTGCTCTGCAAACACCTCCAACTCATTTGCTGACAGGCGTAGTTCCTGTAGGTCGGAATGAGGCCAGTCAGCAAGCTTGGGGAACAAATGGCGGAAGGACGGTGTGAACTCCAGTGCAGGAAAGCTTCGCAGTGGCGGCATCTTTACCATGGGGTGGACCAAAACAGCCCACCACCTTGTCCTCTTCGCTGGCCATAGTTCTTGCAAATGGCATATCTGTTGTTGGAATGTGTACCCAGTACGATTGCAGAAAGCTTGCAGCGTACCTTGAACCCAAGAGGATGCCATGGCTTCTTTTGTGCATTCCAAAATCATTGCCAACGGTTGGTGCAGGTAGCATGTCATCAACATACCCTCGAAGCTTCTAGCACGTGGGTCCAGCTGTTGTCTTTTATTCCCCAACTGTGAGAAAGGTTGGCACGCAAAACCTCCAGTGATAATGCATGGCGTGCTCGTGTAGGGGACAAGGGCTTGCTGTACTGCAAGGCTATCAATGTCACCTTCAATGACTTGGGCTCCGGTGTCACGAAGCCAGGCAGCATATTTTGCATTCAGTTCGACGTGGCATCGAACCTTGCTATCAATCCAGCAATACCCAGCGGTCATGATGCCATAGCCTGAGCAGACATCGATCACTTCTGTAGCGGCCTTGTTGAAGACCATGGGATGTTCTTTGACCACTGCTGTACTAGCATCAACATGCGGGATCCCCTCTACCACAGAGACTGTAGCTCCTATGGCAGTGAACTTGTCGGTCACCAGCTTTGTACCCTGCAACAGGAAGGCCTGGCCGTGGAGCAAGGATGTGCATCGATATCCTGAGGCCTCCTCGTCAAAAAACCAGGCTTTTCCAGAAATCGCCAAAGGGGCAGTGCCAGCATCTACCAACCATGGCTCTGGATCGAACATGGCGGACTACCCCCCCCAAGCCGTTTGCCAGCCTGGGTGCACCAACTGAGAGGCGCTTGGGCCGACACCTAGCGATGGCCTCCAACCTAATAGCAATGGCCTCCACCCTAGTAGTGATGGCCTCCAACCTAATAGTGATGGCCTCCAACCTAATAGTGATGGCCTCCAACCTAATAGCAACATAGTGCAACACTAACAATTGATTGCATATGATTATATATAGGGTCTGTCTGTCCTATTACCTGTAACAGTTAGTAAACGATTATCATCATTTTTTGTACAAGGCCTTTACTAACCATCATCATTCACTGTTACAGGTAATAGGATAGACCCAAATTATATACATGTTTGTTTTGTGCACTCAACCGATCTCATTGCCATACTTGGTTTGGGTGTAATTGTGTGGTTCAAGACTGGAGTCCCATGTTGGATCGTCGTGCCTTTGTACTGTATCATCCTTTTCTCAGATGTCCTTTTTCACATGGGGCAAGTGGGCCAAACTGCGCTTTTTATTCCTTTGAAGTTGTTGGCAGGAGAATCCCAATCTGGAGGGGTGCGCACCCTTGGTGGGTCATTGGCAAAATGGCATTCCAGGCCGCTTCAGCTACTTTTGGCTCTTTGTCGCTTGAAGCATTCGGTGCTTCATTCAGGCACTCGCATTGGACGCTGTGATGAGCTTTGAGAACCCTTTGACAAGCGGACCGTTTTGAGGATGCAGGCCGACCAAGCCTTAGCAGCTTAAGAACTTTTGAGAACTACTGTAAGCATTTTTTGTCGCATATGGTGCCGCGCATGTTTGTCAACGCACTCAGAGATCCAAACACAATGAACTTATTTTGTTTTGTTTTCGTTGCAACTCAGATTTTGCTTGGGATTGGGCTTGTCGCGAGCGCATCTCATCAGGCGCGTACAGCGGATTCCTCGCACGATCAAGAAGGCCACATCCTGTTTGTGTTGCTGTCACTTTGCCATTGTTGTTTTGAGGCTGCTCACTTCCCGCTGGCATAGCTGCTCTCTATTAATGATAGCAAATACTGACCTTCGATGTAAAAACATCGACTGATTGCTGTAGGGCAAAGCGTCTGGACGCCCCCAACAAAATGCTGAGAGCACACAGCACATTGTCACAAAGACCTGGCGAAGGAGTCGAGTCAGAGTCGAGTCATAGTCATAGTCATACCATGAATAATAATGGCCCCCAACCTAACAGCGATGGCCTCCACCCTGATACCGATGGCCTCCAACCTAATTGTGATGCCCTCCAACCTAATAGTGATGGCCTCCACCCTAATAGCGATGGCCTCCACCCTAGTAGCAATCACAAGACCTGCAGAGACTCACATGCGGGAGTTTTATATATACATATTTACAATCTCGTACTGCCTGATGCACATTTGGGCCAAGGCTTTGTTTAATTTCACGTTGACGGTTGTCCCAGACCACACGAAGCAACTCTAGATCTAAAGTGCAAGTTCTTCTCGGCTCTCGGCACCGCGATGGACCTGGGGCATGGCCGCCAGCTGCCGTGGATTGCTCAGACTTGTTGTTTGATGTTTTGTGTAACTTAGCGCCTTTGAAAATTTTCAAGCGAGAAAGCCTCTTTTCAGGTGTTCAAGAAAGCCTCTGAGTGTCTTCAAGAAACCACAGCATGTCTTATGAGGTTTGATGAGGTTGTGCTTTAAACAAGTACTGTACATATCAGTGGATGCAACCTGAGGTTGGGAAGTTGTCGGTGGCAGTGACAAGGGCGGAGTTTTGGTGCGAGATGGGCAGAGCACCAGCTCGACACAGCTGCTTGGACCTTTTGCGTGTTAAAGCAGGGTTTCAAAGCCAAAGGCTTGAAGGGCAGGCATCGCTTGTGCATCAATTGTATGTTATTTGCTTGACTTGCAAGAAAGGGTGCAGGGTTGAAAGTTACAAGGGCAGCCCACAGAGCCTAAGGTTGGAAGATCGGTTGGCAACTGGCTCCAGAATCTTGGCCTTGTCTCTCTTCCAAACTGGAGTCCCATCAAATATAGAAAGGCCAAACATGGTGTTAAAACAACAAGTGCTGTAATCAAGACTAACATCGCTATTAGGTTGGAGGCCATTTTGATTAGGTTGGAGGCCATCGCTATTGGGTTTGAGGGCCATTGCTATTCAGTTGTAGGCCATCCATTAGGTTGGAGGCCATCGCTATTAGCTTCCTTCAAAGATATTTAAGTATTTTTTCTTAAAGTCTATTATCCATGTTTGTAAATATCAGTGGATCTAGTGCTTCTGAAAGATTTGGATCGGAAAGCAGCTCGATCAGCTTTGCTTGAGTCATTGATGAGCTGGAGAAGATTGGCGAACGAGTTCGTTATCAGCTAATCACTGGACAAGGGCCGCCAACTGGTTGGGTGGCTTGGCAGAAGGCCGAATAGCGCGCCGTGATTGAAACACTGTGCCCTCGCTCTACCGCTAGTTACGGTAGTTTTTGAGATTGCTATGCGTTGGCATAGTCCTATACCTCGATCTGAGGTCAGCATTAGCTTGAAAGGCAAAGAGCTCTTACGAAGCGTGCGAGGCCAAGTCCACTGAAGGGTTCGTGTGCCGACAGTCGACGTCAGCTGAGGTGCCTCAGCCAGCGGAGCCTGAGCCGCCTGAGCCCAGCCGGGCTGAAGAACTGCAGTTGGCGCCTGAGATTGGAATGAATTTAGGGCAGGAAAGAAGAAACAGACGCGTCAGGCAGGAACTTAGTATAGTTGAATTATTTGATTTGCCTTCAGTGATATCTCCCCTTCTTAGCTGAGACCCCTACCTCTTCAAGGCCTACCCATCCTCCAAAAAAGCGTTGGAGGTCAACGCTGAGGGACTCAGCCCACTTTCCAAGTGCACCTCCTCAGCCCACTTCTGTGCTTCACCCTCAGGCCAAAACTGGAGGAGCAACAGGCTGCTGCACTGTACGAGTCTTCGGCTGTGCTCATAGTACCACTGGCTGTCCCTGCACTCGCTGTGAGGGAGTTGCAGAAAGACCACCAAACTCCTGAGTTGCAACAAGACTGGTTCCGGGCTAATGCAAGCAGGTTACCAGTGGCACAATCGTATATGTTTAAGCAAGGGACAGAGTAGACACGTAAAGAATTGCCTACAGCCTTCCAACACTGCCGGGTGATGAGCCGCTAAGCCCTGATACTTGTAAATCCCGTAGTAGGCCATCCCTGGAACACAGACGGGGCAAGGAGTGAGTGTGCCCTTCCTGCGCCAGGCGATAGACCAAGTCTCGAACAAGAAGGGCATGACTGAAACACCCAAAGAGACCCTTGAGGACAAAACAGACACATTTAGCACCACAGTGCTGGTCCATGCTGTGATGCTGTAATTTTTCTGATTCTGAGTCGAGACTCCTTTCTGGAGGAAGCCGCAGCCTCTGAAGCTTGGTGGTCCGATGAAGCAAGGAAGACACCATCGCCAGCCTTTGGGCTTCAGAGTCGCCTCATCCGCGGCCGCTATGCATTTAGGTTGGAGGCCATCGCAAATAGGTTGGAGGCCATCGCAAATAGGTTGGAGGCCATCGCAATTAGGTTGGAGGCCATCGCAATTAGGTTGGAGGCCATCGCAATTAGGTTGGAGGCCATCGCAATTAGGTTGGAGGCCATCGCGATTAGGTTGGAGGCCATCGCAAATAGGTTGGAGGCCATCGCGATTAGGTTGGAGGCCATCGCAATTAGGTTGGAGGCCATCGCAATTAGGTTGGAGGCCATCGCAATTAGGTTGGAGGCCATCGCAATGAGGTTGGAGGCCATCGCAATTAGGTTGGAGGCCATCGCAATGAGGTTGGAGGCCATTGCAATTTGGTTG